GGGATTGCGGAGGGGAGACAAGAGGGAGGGTTGCGTTGGCCAAGTGCTTTCCCGAGTTTTGCAAGGAAGTTTGGCCATATAGATTTATATCGTGCTAATTGAAAACATGTCCGAGCTGTGTGTACCTTGATGGTGGTTTCTGGCAGATTTAGAGCAGCCGCCAGTTCACATCTCCGGGGCCTGGACACGTAGTTCTCCCGGTAAAACTCCTTCTCCAGCCGGGCGATCTGCTCACGGGTGAAGGCGGTGCGGTAGCGGCGCATCTGGTCGCTGGCGCTGCAGGCCAGCGAGCCCTGGGGACCACCGCTGCCTCCGCTGCCCTTGGGGTGATCCCCCCCGGCGCTGGGGCTGGCGGCCAGCGACTCCGAGCACGGGCCCGCGAGGGGAGACACCCGCTCGGGAGGCGGGCAGCACGGAGGGATGCTCCCGGCCCGCCTCCTCAGCCAGATTCCTTCTCCCCTAATCCCTCTCCATTCGCCTTTTCTGCGACTGCCCGTGTGTACTGAGGATGCCGGGGAGGCATCCAAGAGGGACTGTGGCGGAGGGCAGGGGGAAGAGGATGCAGCACCAGTTAAAGATTTGATGGGTGCTCCTTCACTGTGGCTGGAAGGCTACTTGCCACCCCCCCAACGCACACAAACACACACATACCGCTATGACAGTGTCTGCTCGATGCCCCCCCGCTCGCTTCCCGCACTGTGAAGCCGAAGGCGGCTGCCGCAGCATCCCCCGACCCTGGGCGTCTCGGAAAGGCAGGGGCGTCCCCACCGCCCGAGCCTCACGGCCCCCCGTCCCCTTCCTCCAGACCAGCAAGGGCCCAGGAGCGGAGCAGCGGGCAGGCAGGGACCCTGCTTCCTCCAGGGGAGGTCAGGCCTCGGGGACTCTCCCCTCAGCCTCCAAAGCCCAGGATGGGGTGTTTTCAATGAGCCTCTAAAGGACGAAAGAGGGTAGACAACGCTGTCCGCGCATCCCTGAAGTGATGGAGGAATGGGGAGGGGAGAGAAGTGGGTTGTTGTCGGAGTCGGGGGGGGCTCTGTCGGGCCGGGAAGGTGGGAACAAGGAGTGGGGGCAGGGGGAAAAGGGGCCTGCTCGCTGCGTTTGCTTTCAAATGCAAGTCTACCTCATTGTAGCCGAGACCAAAGGCAATTAATTCATTGGGACCATTTCCGAGCTGGCGCCACCAAGACATAGAAGTGACAAGGTAATTTGGACCTCTCATCTTCCCTCCCCGCACCCCCATCCTTTTTTTTTT